ACCTGCCAATGCAGGGGACATGGGTTCAAGCCCTGGTCCGGGAAGATCCCACATGCCGCAGAGCAGCTAAGCCCGTGCGCCACAACTACTGAGCCTGAGCTCTACAGCCCATACACAACTACTGAGCCCGTGTGCCACAACTGCTGAAGCCCACGTGCCTAGAGCCTGTGCTCTGCAACAAAGAGAAGCCACTGCAGCCCACACACCACAATGAAGAGTAGCCCCCGCTCGCCAGGGCTTAATATTTATATTAATATTTATATTTTATGTAAATATTAATATTTAATATTAATTAAAAATAACCAGTGGACCAAAGAGGAAATCACAGGGGAAATTAGAAAATACTTAGAATGAATGAAAAAAACAAAGCATACCAAAACTTATGGGATGCAGCAAAAGCAGTGCTAAGGGGAAATTATAGCTGTAAATGTTCACGTTAAAAAAACAAGAAAGATCTTGTCAGCCATCTAACTTTCAACTTAAAAACTAGAAAAAGAACAAACTAAACCAAAAGCTAGCAGAAGGAAGGAAATAAAGATTACAGCAAAGATACAAAATTCAGTATAGAAAAACAATAGAGAAAATCAGTGAAACCAAAAGTTGGTTCTTTAAAAAGATCAATGAAATTTTAGCTAGATGGACTAAGGAAAAAAGACACAAGTCATTAAAATCAGAAATGAAAGCAAGGGGACTTCCCTGGTGCCGCAGTGGTTAAGAATCTGTCTGCCAGTGCAGGGGACCCAGGTTCGATCCCTGGTCCAGGAAGATCCTACATGCCATGGAGCAACTAAGCCTGCACACCTAGAGCCTTTACTCCCCAACAAGAGAAGCCACTGCAATGAGAAGCCCACCACCACAACAAAGAGTAGCCCCCTCGCCTCAAATAGAGAAAGCCCCTGTGTGGCAACGGAAGACCCAACGCAGCCAAAAATAAAAATAAACAAATTTATATGTTTAAAAAAATGAAAGCAGGGACATTGCTACTAATTCTACAGAAAGAAAAAAAGGTTTTAAAAGAGTACTATGGGGACTTCCCTGGTAGTACAGCAGTTAGGACTCCTTGCTCCCAGGGCAGGGGGCCTGGGTTCAATCCCTGGTCAGCAAACTAGATCCCGCATGCTGCAACTAAGACCTGGTGCAGCCAAATAAATAAAAAAAATTTTTTTTAAAAGAGTACTATGAGCAATTAATTGTACACCAACAAATCAGATTACCTGGGTGAAACGGACATGTTCCTAGAAACACAAAACCTATCAAGACTAAATCACAAAGAAATAAACAATCTGAATAGACCTATAACTAGTAAGGAGATTGAATCACTACTCAACAATTTCCCAGGAAAGGGCTTCCCTGGTGGCACAGTGGTTAAGAATCCGCCTGCCAATGCAGGGGACATGGGTTTGAGGCCTGGTCCGGGAAGATCCCACAGGCCGCGGAGCAACTAAGCCCGTGCGCCACAACTGCTGAGCGGGCATTGTAGAGCCCGCAAGCCACAACTACTGAGCCCATGTGCCTAGAGCCCGTGATCCGCAACAAGATGAAACTACCACAATGAGAAGCCCGTGCACCGCAACAAAGAGTAGGCCCTGCTGACCGCAACTAGACAAAGCCTGCATGCAGCAATGAAGACCCAACACAGCCAAAAATAAACAAATAATTAAAAAAAAAAATTTCCCAAGAAAGAAAAGCCTTGGACCTAATGGCTTCACTGTGAATTCTACCAAATATTTAAAGAACTAACACCAATCCTTCTCAAATTTTTCCAAAATATTTCAGAGGAAGAAACACTTCCTAACTCATTCTGTGAGGCCAGCATAACTTTGATACCAAAGCCAGAAGACACTACAGGAAAACGATAGACCAATATCCCTTTTGAACATAGATGAAAAAAATCTTCAGCAAAATACTAGCAAACAGAATTCAGCAACACTTGAAAAGGATTATACATCATGACCAAGTGAGATTTATTCCTGGAATACAAGGATGATCAATGTAACAAGCTACATCAACAAAATGAAGGAAAAAAAACACATGATCATCTCAACTGATGTAGAAAAAGCAAGATTCTGCACCCTTTCGTGATTAAAAACACTCAGTAAAATAGGAAAAGAGGGGAACTACTTCCACACAATAAAATCCATATATGAAAATCCCACAGCAAACATAATACTCAATGGCTTTTCCTCTAAGATCAGGAACAAGGCAAGGATGCCCACTTTCACCACTTTTATTCAACATAGTAATGGAAGTTCTAGTCAGAGCCATTAGGTTATAAAAGAAATAAAAGGCATCCAAATTAGAAAGGAAGAAGTAAAAGTATCTCTGCAGATGAATGATCTTATATGTAGAAAATCCTAAAGACTGTTAGAACTAATAAATGACTTCAGCAAAGTTAGAAGCTGTTAGAACTAATAAATGACTGTTAGAACTAATAAATGACTTCAGCAAAGTAGCAAGATACAAAGTCAACACACAAAAATCAGTTGTATTTCTATACACAATGAACAATCCAAAAAGGAAATTACAAAAATGATTCCAGGGCTTCCCTGGTGGCACAGTGGTTAAGAATCCACCTGCCACTGCAGGGGACCTGGGTTCGAGCCCTGGGCTGGGAAGATCCCACATGCTGCGGAGCAACTAAGCCCGTGCACCACAACTACTGAGCCTGCGCTCTAGAGCCTGCGAGCCACAACTACTGAAGCCCGCGTGCCTAGAGCTCCGCAACAAGAGAAGCCACTGCAATGAGAAGCCTGCACACCACAACAAAGAGTAGCCCTGGCTCATTGAAACTAGAGAAAGCCTGCGTGCAGCAGCAAGGACCCAACGCAGCCAAAAATAATTAATTTTAAAAAATGATTCCATATATAGTAGCATCAAAAAGAATAAAATACTTAGGAATTAACCAAGGAGGTAAAAGACATGTACAATAAAAACTACAAAACACTCCTGAAAGAAATTATAGACATAAATAAATGGAAACACATCCCACGATCATGGACTGGAAGACTTAATGTTGTTAAAAGTGGACTTCCCTGGTGGTCCAGTGGTAAAGAACCTGCCTTTTAATGCAGGGGACAGAGGTTCGATCCCTGGTTGGGGAACAAAGATCTCACATGCCGCGGGGAAACTAAACCCGTGTACCACAACCACGGAGCTCACGCGCCTCAACAAGACAGCCCACGTGCCGCAAACTACAGAGCCCACGCGCTCTGGAGCCTGCATGCCAGAACTAGACAGAGAAAACCCGCACACTGCAACTAGAGAGAAGCCCGAGTGCCACAATGAGGAGCCCGCGCCACAACAGAGGATCCCGCACGCCTCAATGAAGACCCCATGTGCCTCAGCCGACGTGGCCAAAAAAAATAAATTAAAAAAAAATTGTTAAAATGTTAGTAGTACCCAAAGCAATCTATAGATTCAGTGCAATTCTTAAAACATCAAGGACTTTTATACAGAAATAGAAAAACACTAAAACTCATATGGGATCTCAAGGGACCCCAACAGACAAAACAATTTTGAAAAAGACTAAAACTGGAGGAATCACACTTCTTGGTTTCAAAACCTAATACAAAGCTATAGTAATCACAACAGTATTGACATAAAAAGAGACAGACATATAGATCAATGAAATAGAATAGAGAGCCCAGAAATAAACCCTCGAATATACAATCAAATGATTTTTGAGAAGGGTGCCAAGGCCATTCAATGAGGAAAGGACAGCCTTTTCAACAAATGGTGCTGGGAAAACTGGATAACCACATGCAAAAGAATGAAGTTGGACTCTTACCTAACACTATATACAAAAGTAACTCAAAATGGATCAAGGGCCAAAATATAAAACCTAAAACAATAAAATTCTTGGAAAAACATAGGACAGAAGCTTCATAATAATGGATTTGGTGATGATTTCTCAGATATGACAACAAAGGCATAGGCAACAAAAGAAAAAATAGACAAATTGGACTTCATGAAAATTAAACTTTTTACATTGAGACAGTATCAACAAAATAAAAAGGCAACCAACAGAATGGGAGAAAATATTTCCAAATCACTTATTTGATAAGGGATTAGTATCTAGAATATATAGAGAACTCCTAAAACAACACACACACACACACACAAAATCAGATTCAAAAATGGGCAAAGGACTTGAATAGACATTTCTCCAAAAAAGATATGTGAATGGCCAATAAGCACATGAAAAGATGCTTAACATCACTAATTATTAGGGAAACGCAAATCAAAATTACAATGAGATACCACCTCACACCTATCAGGATGGTTACTGTCAAAAAAACAGAAAACAGTATTCGGTGAGGATGTGGAGAAGTTGGAACACTTGTGCACTATTGGTGAGATTGTAAAATGGGAAAGCCACTGTGGAAAACAGTATGTAGGCTCCTCAAAAAATTAAAAATAGAATTACCATATGACCCAGCAATTCCACTTTAGGGTATATATCCAAAAAAATTAAAAGCACAGTCTCAAAGAGATGTTTGTAAACCCATGTTCATAGGAGCAGTATTCACAGTAGCTAAAACATGAAAGCAACCCAAGTGTCCATCAACCAATGAATGGATAAACAAAATGTGGTATATACATACAATGGAATATTATTCAGACCTAAAAAGGAAGGAAATTCTGCAATATGCTATAACATAGATGAACCTTGAGAACATTATGCTAAGTGAAATAAGCCAATATTTATCTTATTAAAAGATAAATACTGTATGATTCCACTTATATTAGGTACATAGAGTAGTCAAGAGCACAGGACAGACACAAGGTATAATGATGGTTGCCAGGGGCTGGGGAGAACAGGGAGTTATTGTTTATAGCTGTAGAGTTTCAGATTTACAAGATGAAAAGAGATGGGAATGGATGGTGGTGATGGCTACACAACAATGTGAACGTATTTAATGCCACTTAAAAATGATTAAGATAGTAAATTTTTTGTTATGTGTATTTTAACTCAATAAGAAAAAAGAAATTACTATCAGTAAGAGAATATATAACTTGAGGTATAATTCATACAATGGAATACCATATAACAATAAAAAATGAATCAACTGCACGACACCACAGATGAATCACACGGTGCTGATGAAAAAACAAGACGTAAAAGAACATACACAGAATGATTCTATTTACCTAAAGTTCAAAAGCAGACAAATTATATTGTATAAAGATGCATACAAGGAATGGTATGAGTCAAAATGAAAACAGGTATATGAATAACAAAAGAAGATGACCTCTAGTGGTTCCCAATCTTAGCACTACCTCCAAATCACCAGGGGTGGGGCAGCCTAAAAAATCTATCCACATCTAGGTTCCACACCCCTAAGTTCTGATTTCATTGTGTCTGCGATGCTGGCTTTAGGCATCCAGTTTCAAATCTCCAGGTGTTTCTTTCTTTTCCTTTTTTTTTTTTGGGCCACACTGTGCCACGCGGCTTGTGTGATCTTAGTTCCCAGACTGGGGATTGAACCCATGCCCCAGGCAGTGAAAGCGCAGAGTCCTAACCACTGGACCGCCAGGGAGTTCCCTCCAGGTGTTTCTAATGTGAAGACAAAGTTGAGGATGCTGCCTGCTCTAAGGTGGAGCTGTGATAGGGAAGGCCAAATGTGGGGCCTCTGGGGTGCTGGCAATGGTTTTCCTTGACCTGGGGGGAGTTTCACAGGTGTTAGCTTCATAATTTTTCACTCTACATTCATTTTATGCCCTTATCTATACATGTCAGCTCTTCTCTTTTTCCACAGCATACACATAGGTGTTCCAGGGCCCACAGCTCACGGTCCTTACTTGGAGTTGCTTATCTACAAAGTACTTCACACGGCAGGGCCGATCCAAGCTGGTCGTGTCTTTGTGGCCAAGCTGTCCATATTTACCTAAAGTGAAATGAGCTGCTTTGCCATCCTCTCCACTGGGCCTTGTGGCTTTTCCCCTCCAGGAAGGAAAAACAGCCCATTGACTGAAGTGCTGGGCTTAAGCCACTAGTCTGCTGGTGTCTGCTCTGTGAATTCAGGAGACCAGCACCACAGAGCCTCCAGGACCAGGCAATTCCACAGGTCCCCAAGAGGAAAGATGCTCCTCCAGGCTCCCCACTCCTAAGCTCAGATGTTCAGAGCAGAGATTTTTATTTTATCTTTTTCTCTACCCAGTGCCAGACCAAAAGATGTTTCATGACTGCTGGCTAAATATTCCCTTAAGACAAATACCTTTTCAGAAAGGTAGATGGGAAATACTGACATGTTGTCCTATTTCTCTCTTGTCTGGTCTCTGCCCCTCTTAGTGTGCCTAGATCTGTTCCAGAGAAGGGAGTAGACAGCTTTTCAGTCCCAATGGTCAGGCCGAGTCCCCTGCTTCCGCTTCTCTGCATGGCTGTTGTCACCTGCCCTCTACTCCCAGGTCTTTCCTCCCCTTGGTTTAAGCATCACAAAAGCAAACCTTTTACTCACCCCAGCCCCAGGTGTAGAGGTCCCCCGTTCCTGCAACCAAAGGACAGCAAAAGGACAGTAAGGGGCTGACACCACTGCTCTTCGACTAGGCATTTGTCCAGCTCGGCCTGCCAGCATGTTCTGGTCACCATGAGACTTACTTGGCGTAGCAAAACATATCCTCTCTCTCTTTAACAACTGTCTAGTCACATTTGGGGTGATAAAGGATCCAAACTGAAAAAGTTCACCTCCCTATATGCGGACTGATTGGCCTGCAACTGACAGCTGCTGAGTTTAGGACAGCCCTGCTGTCAGATGAAAGGCTGGCAACACTAGCCTCCCTCCAGAAGGAAGAACCTTCGGGGCCTGACAGGCTGGGGAGCCACTGTTAAAGCCCCGTGGGAGTGTACTGAGTGGGGCAGCTACTCAGTACAGGTCAAAGATGTTTAATTAAAATGGTAGTTGTTTAGGTGACCACACCCTTTTCTGCAGCCACCAGCTAGAGAGCGGGGTGGAGGGCCTCCCGCTCCATCCTGAACCAGCCTACCCAGCCCCACTCACTTGTCACCACCGCTGTGTGCCGGGATCCACAGCTGGCCTTGACTGCATCTGAGCCCAGGGGGAGGTCCAGTAAAGCCGGGAAGGGCTGGACAGCTATGAAGGGGGCAGGGGCTCCATCCTCACCCCCGGCTACTGTCTTCACTTCAGAACCATCTTCATTCAGTCCTGAGGCTTCAGAGAAGTAATAAGAGGGATGATGATAATGATGCTGAACACTCAGCGCTGATCTAAACCTCATTCATATACTGACTCACTCACTACAACAGCTGACACACTTGCTCTAGCTCCAGAGCCATCGCTCCCAACCCCACATTCCCTGGGAAGTGCTGGAGTTGACAGGTTTGTGGGGCATGTAGTGCTGACACTGGCATCAGCCTTGCCGTGCTCCCTCTCATAAGGGGCTCAGAGTCCTTCATTGTGTCCTGGGGTCCCAAGGATGTCACGTACCCTTTTGAGCACTGTAGCTCTCAGGCCAACAATATGGCCAGGAGTCAGGAATGAGAGAAACGTGTGGAAATCAAGAATTGACCCTCGCCAACAGACTTGTGGTTGCCAAGGAGGAGGGGGATGGGGGAGGGATGGATTGGGAGTTTGGGATTAGCAGATGTCAACTATTACATATAAATGGATAAACAAGGTCCTACTGTGTAGCACAGGGAACTGTATGCAATATGCTGTGATAAACCATAATGGAAAAGAATATGTATACATATATGTATAACTGAATCATTTTCCCATACAGCAGAAATTAACACAACATAAATCAACTATACTTCAATAAAATATATCAAAAAAAAAGAATTGACTCTCACCTTCTGCGGTTGTCTTTCCATCCTCTGCCAGGCTCTTGGTGGGCAGGGCCAGCTGCCCTGATTCATTCCAGCCCCAGATATAAATATCCCCAGCCTCTGAAAGAGAGATAAAGGGGCCCCATTAACAGACTGTGTTCGCCCCCTCCACCTCCTAAGCATGGGCATCCATCCAGACTCCACTACACCCCACTAGTTCCCTAAAGACAACTCCTGCCTGCCCTGCCCAAGTCAGCACTCCAGGCAGAGTGCTTTCCTCAGGGCCCAGCAGCTTCCTGGTCTCAACAGGGCCCCTTCCCCCTTAAGTGCCTTCAGGTCACCCTATTCTTAAAGGAAGTCTCTTGCTGGCTCTTCCTCTCCACTTTCATTTTTTCCTTTTTTGTTAAATTGCACCCCCTACTCCCCCCGCGTGCAGTTTGGAAATGTGGCCCTGGAAGTTCCCCAGTGGTCTTTTTTTCACATCCACTGAGCCCAGGCCCCTTTCGTCAGCCCTACCTGCCACCGGTCCTACTGAAGGCCTTTTAAAAAACTGTTTTAACTGAGATGGTATTGGTTTATAACATTATATAAGTTTCATGTGTACAGCATTATATTTTGACTTCTGTATGCACTACAGTGTGCTTATCACCAAGAGGTTAGTTTTCATCTGTCACCATCCAGCCAACCCCCTTTACCCATTGCACCCTCCCCCTCCCCCGGAGGCCTCTGGAAGCTCTCACAACACTGGAGTTGGTTGATTGGAGCAACAGCCCTATGCTAAAAATTCACTAACAGCAGTGGCTAATTTTTATCAAGTGCTTATTCTGTGCCACTGTTTTAAGCACAATATCCCCATTTTATTCAAGAGAAAACTTGAGGCACAGAGAGGTTAGGTGCTCTGCCCAAGATCACGAGGGGCAGGGTGATGATTTGAACCTGGGAGGTCTGGTCTGAAGCATCTGTGCTCCAACCATGCTCCAACCATGCGACACCAAGGCCGTAAAACTGGGCCTGTGCAGATGTCCAGTGGATGGCCTTTTGATGTCAGAGGGCTGGAAAACTCCACCCTCAGTTCATGCTAAGCGCCTCCACTTTTTTGTTTTGGCTACACTGCGTGGCTTGTGGGATCTTAGTTCCCCAACCAGGGACTGAACCAGGGCCCCTGAAGTGAAAGCGCCGAGTCCTAACCACTGGACCGCCAGGGAATTCCCGAAGTGCCTCCATTTTGAATATGCAGACGCATGTGACCCAGATATGCCTACTCAGAACACTGATTACCTCACCTTCTTCCCTACCTCCAATCACCTTTCCCCACGCCTAAGACCACCCTGCTTATCCCATAAATACCCCAACTCCCTTCAGGGAGGCAGATCTGAGACTTATTATTCTCCCGTCTCCTCGCTTGGCTGCCTTGTGAACAAAGTGTTTCTTGGCTGTAAACCTGGCATCTCAGCGTCTAGCTTGCTGCGTATCAGGACCTGGTCGGTAATGATATAAGTGGAGGCCAGAGCCCCAAATGCAGATCCTTGCAAAGATCATTTGCTCCCAGCTGCACCCAACAGCCTAGAGATCAGCTACACCTGGATCACCTGCCAGAGTGGTGAACACAATCTAAAGTGAAACTCCTCATTCTGCTCCTGGGTCACCAGCCATGGCACCACCAGAGCTCACACTCACCATCATCATCTTCCCGGTGGGCATCCAAGTGTCCACTGTGTGCCACACATCACGGCCACCCGGGCAACTGCTGCCTTTTTTTTCTCCTTAGCTCGGTTGCCCCTCACCCCTTCATTCTCCCTTGGGGAGTATTTTAGAAAGACAGCCCTGGCTGGAGGCAGACGGAGGGGAGGGGTAGTGAGACCAGTAACAGAAGACAGGAAACAACTGTGACAGTCCGGGTGCGAGTGGGTGATGGTGGCAGCAGAGGGGCTGAATCTGAGAGGCGTTAGGGAGTCATGAATGACTGGGCTGGCTGATGTGGGAGGAGCTTGGGAGGAGGCCCGGCTAGGGCACCCATCAATTTGCGAGAGAAGGAGAAAGGTTTGGAGCCTACGAGACCTTGAGCTGGTTTTGGAAAAGCACTAGGTCACTCACCACTCACACACAGAGAGTGCCAGCCACCTGCGGCCACCTCAGCCATGGTTAGGCCCTGCAGCGCCTGCAGCAGCCTCGGCTCCGGCTCTGCCTCCAGAGTCCCGTGGCCCAGCTGTCCGTGCCTGAGCAAGGGAGACCCTAGTCAACTACACCAAGGGGTCTCCTTCCCCTTCCCTCCCCTTCCCTCCCCAATTGCTCACTCCTGCCCCCTGTATGCTCACCTCCCACTCCGAGCCACATTTACCCGCACCCCCCCACCCCCACCCCGTCATCGCCGCAAAAGCCCAGCCGGCCCACCTCACCTGCCCCCGCCCCAGGAGAACACCTGGCCCGCCGCGTCCAGCAGCAACGCGTGCTCAGCGCCCAGCTCCAGCCGGCGCGCCCGCAGTGTCGGGGCCAGAGGCCGGTAGAAGGGCGGCCGCGGGCTCACGTAGGCGCGAGCGCAGGGCAGCAGCGGCAGCGGCCCAGCCTGGGTCTCATCGCCGACCGGTCCGTCTTCCCGCTCGGCCTCCGGCACGGTCTGGGCCCACAGGGGCTCCCCGCGCAGCGCCGAACCGGGCGCCCAGGCCTGCAGCTCCGTCCCGGCCCCGGGTCCCGGCCCCGCGCGCAGCACCACCAGGAGCTCCTCCGACGCCCACGCGTCCCTGCAGCCGCCCGCCGCTCCGACCGCGAAGCCAGACAGCTCCACCCGGCCTCCTTCACCTGCGGGGGGCGGAGAGCTGGCTGGGGAGGGGGCGGGACACGCACCCGGGGCTGGGGTCAGGATGGGGCCGGAAGGAGGTGCTCACGGGTCACGAAGGCGGTGTAGCTCCAGCTCGCGCTCACGCGGCAGACATCGAGGCCCGCGCCTGGCGCCCTCAGAGGCTCGGGGCTGTGTACCTGGCGCCCGCGCCCCGAGCCCAGCGCCTGCCCGAAGCCGCAGAAACCGAAGCCGAACCAGGCCCCGCGACGCTCTTCGGCCATGCCCGCCAGCGCCCTCTGCTGGCTGCGACCTGGCTGCGGCGGCCGGCGGGACGGAGGGTTAAGGCTAGAACTCGAAGAGATTCTTCCAGATGAGCCCTTGCGGTACACTGAAGCTGCCTCACCTGTAAAATGGGGGAAATGCCATCCTCCTAACCACAGAGGCAGACGATGTGCGTTCCACCAACATTCGCTGAGCGGGAGCCTTGGCTAAAGTCCTGCCAGATTTAGGAAGATTCTGAGCTGTCTAGAGTGGGGCACTTTTCCTGCCTTCCCTTTTGACTCGAGCAAGTTCGCTGTCCCACAGATTGGGCACGAGGTATTTAAATGGCTTCTCTCTTAGGCGTTGGACTAGGATCTGAGTCCCTCCCCCTCCAAATTCCCAATGCCAGGCACATTATCCCATGTAATCTTGGGAACTAGAATTGCCCCCATTTGACAGCGGAGACTCCCAGAGAAAGTAACCCTTACACAATCACATAGCTTAGGACCGAGCGGGGCAGAAGGCTGAACTCAAGGCTCATCATTTCCACATACAGTGCTCTTCCCACCAGTGGAAGGCACAGCATTTGAGAGACAATGCCCTGTACGGGTTAGGACCAGTTCCAGGGTTCACATGTTTGCCTCTGCAGCTACCAGTGCCTGTGTCCTCAGCCAATTTACTTAAACTCTCTCAATCCAATTCAATTTCTTCAGTTTCACAAAGCTGGGGAGTAGGAGAGGTGATGTTTGTACGTACCTTGTAGAATTATTTGGAACAGATGCAAATAAAGGGTTCAAGTGTTGGCACCTACCATGGCAAGCACACGGTATCAGCTTATTAAGTCCAGTACTTAGAATTGATAAAAATGACCACTGGATTTTCAGGGACCTATATAAACACAATTTCAACTGGACCTTATCTAGTCATTTATTCGTTCCACATGCATTTATTGATCCCTTAGGCTAAGTCATTGAGAAGGACCGATGTCTACTTCCAAGGAGCTCACGCATAAATGGGAGACAAACGCACAGTCGAGTGGCACGGTAAGGCCACTTTTTTCCGTACAGCATGTTCGGCTTGATCAGAATTTCATTGGCATTTTCAAGCCTGTGAAGTCAGGTCCTGGATCTCTCCTTGACCCGGGCCTGGGCTCCTACCCCTTCCGGGTCAAATCCCAGCCCTAGTAAGCCTCTGACCTTAATCTTGACCCTGTGCCCTCCACCGCCTCAGGCAGCTCCTTCCGATGGGCAGTCTTGAGGGAGGAGGAAAGGCCGGGGCGCAGGGCGGCCACCCAGGAACGAGTCACCACCCAGCCCAGGACCTGGCTGGCAGCCGCAAGAAGGAAAGGTTTGAAGAGCCGCGCCCTGAGCGAGGCGCCCATTGGCTGCCGCCGCCTCCCCGGGGCCAATCACCAGAGAGAGGGGTGATGTCACCGCGCGGGGAGGACAGCCTTGGGACAAGCTCACCTCGGTTCCGGCGATCCCCGCCGCGGCCTGTCCAGTCCCAGCTCGATCAAACCGGTCCCAAGGCCTACGCTAGGCCGCTGCGGCCTCCGGCGGGGAGTGGGCGAAACCTTTGGTGGGCGTGGGCTCGTTGGGCCAGATGGTCCCGTCCTCCGCAGGCACGCGCGGGGCCGCGGAGTCAGTATTAGAAACACTTGGGGGACGATCAGAAAGAACTAATAAGGGGTTGGCGACAAGCGACCCCAGTGACGGGCGCCGCCTGTCAGTCCTCTCTGTCTGAGATGGCGGCAGCTATTTAATGGACACGCGCGGGCCTGAGGCCCTAGAAGCAGCACCCGAATTAGGCGGGTGCTGGGCAGTTTTTACCTTCCATTGGCTCAGGATCTGTCACTTACCTCCGTTAAGCCAATGAGAGTCAAGCTGGGCTTAGTCCGCTTTGCAGAGAGCCGAAGCAGGCTCTCAAGGGACCACCCGCCCAGGCAGGTGGGGATGCCCGCATCGGTCCAAGCTTAGCTCCAACCCCGCCCAGCTACTGGAGCTTCCCTCAGGGCTTTCCCACTCCCATATCCCGAGCTCTGCCTGACTGGAGGTCACTGAAAACTCTCAATACAAAGGCAGAAGTGGGCTTCCATAGTGGCACAGTGGTTAAAGAATCCACCTGCCAATGCAGGGGACACGGGTTCAAGCCCTGGTCCAGGAAGATCCCACATGCGGCGGAGCAACTAAGCCCGTGCGCCACAACTACTGAGCCTGCGCTCTACAGCCCCTGAGTTACAACTACTGAGCCCGCGTGCCTGGAGCCTGTGCTCCGCCACAAGAAAAAGCCACCGCAATGAGAAGCCCGCGCGCCGCAACGAAAAGTAGCCCCCGTTAGCCCCCGTTCACTGCAACTAGACAAAGCCTACACAGCAAGGAAGACCCCAAAGCAGCCATAAATAAATAAAGGCAGAAGTATTGAAAAGCCTAATGCATGTGTTTCCATGCGACTGGATACTTTATTGATTTGCTTACATTTACCCTTTGGCCCTCTACAAGGATTAAAAGGCAATTCAGCGGGCCCTGGGGTGGGAATTCATTGGATTCCTTCCACAGAGGTGGCTGTGCTGCTGAAAAGCTGCCCACACGCTCAGCCATGCCCAGCTCCTGCTCCACGCTCTGGCCCACAGCCAGCCCTCCCTGCCCACTGACTGGGCACATATTTGAGTTCCACACACTTTTTATTAGAGGATGAGGAGTGGACCTGCCAGCAGGCTCAGGTGAGGCTCACAGCTGGTGAGGCTCACAGCTGGGTCCTTCCCAGTGCAGGGAATCCACAGGCTGAGTTAGGACGCACCTTCCCCGTTCCCAGCTGTCTAAGTAGTACAGGAAAAGTTCCCTGCTGCGTGAGGCTGGAGGCAGTGCTGGCAGAGCAGGGCTGTGAACGTGGCCCCTGACTCAGAACAGAGGACATCAAAGGGCAGCTGGGCAGGAGACACCCCAGCACCCACCAGCCAAGGCCATGTCTGTCCTCGCTCCCTGTGCTGCGATAGGTAGCGTGTGTGAGAGGCAGGTCCTCACTTTCCATCCTGGCTGGGTCTGATAAGCCCATATTCCACTGCTTTCCCCAGACAAGCGGCGGCAGCCCTCATGACTGGGCTCTCCTTGCCCTTAGCCAGCACTGACAGGATCTCCAGCATCTCGCTCTCCATCAGGGTGCTGGCAATCTCACTCGAGGCCTCCACCATGTTCAACACCACCACAGCGCCCCGGTGCTGTAGCTCCTGGTTGGGGCTCAGAAGCAGGGCCTGCAGGATCTCCAGCCAGTGTGTGGTCTGCAGGAAACAGGGCAGCGTGACCACCGAGCATCAGGGAACCCTGGCAGGGCACTCACTTACACACCCTGGCTGGGGGCTCCTGGCCCACCTCCCCTGCCCCACCAAGAAGGGGCACTGACCACTTGGGGGATGCGGCTGCAGAGCGAGGGCCGCGTGGAGGTGAGCATGGCCAGGCCCCCAGCAGCCGCCCGCCGTAGCAGCTCGTCGTCCTCTCCACTGTACAGCACCAGCAGCTTCAGCCGGTCACTGCCCGTGGCTTCAAAGAGATCCTGCACCTGTGGCCGGAAGCGGGGAGTGCACCAGGTTAGCTGGGGCAAAGGCCAGCCAGGGACAGGTACTTCTGCGTGCCTGCCTGCCATGACCGCCTCCTGGACCAACCCTCACCTCCGTGCTCATGGCCAAGTTACACATGCACTCGGTGGCTGCCCGGCGGATCATCTCATGCTCCTCAAACATGTAGCCCTCAATCATGGGCACAGCCCTTTCCTTCAGGATCTTCTGCCTGTGGGGCCAAGGGTGGAGGGTCGGCATCACCAGAGCGCTGGCATCCATCACCCCCACCCGTTTCCCCACACAATCAAACCCGGGGCCAAGGATTTCCTTGGGCAATATCCAAAGACCCTCCTGCACCAGGGATGAAACCACCAGGCAGTGGTTTCCAGCCTTCTAACTGGGCCTAGGAAATAGCACAGGACCTTGGGAAATGCTCTAAAGTAGGAGTTAGGAGACCCAGGTGGTGATGATGGCAATGCTAACACCTAACTTTCGAGCCCTCACCCTGACCCAGCACTCGGACTACCTTACTTAATCCTCGCTACAGCCCTACAGTGAAGGTGCAGGTGTGATTATCATTATTACTATTTTGCAGAAGAGGAGACTGAGTGGCCCAAGGTCACAATCAGCAGTAACAGCTAATCTGTACTGCTTGGGCACATTGCCAGGAGCCAGGCACCTATGTAGTAAATGCTTTTACACGTATTTTCTCATTTAGTCCTCCTCACTGCTCCTCCACGAGCTAGGTACTCTAGCCACCCTATTTCACAGAGGGGGAAACTGAGGCACAGAGGGATTAAGTTACTTGTGAGGTTATACACTAATAAACAGTGAACCCAGGATTTGAACCCAGGCAGCCTGACTCCAGGGTCTGCGCTGTCATCGCCCAGTCCCTTGCTATCTCACGGGACACTGCACAAGTCACGCCTCTCAGCCTGTCTCCTCCGCGGTAAGGTGCAGAGGAGTCACCATGAGGAGCAAATAAGTGAGTGACTGGGGAGTGCTTTCCACGCTGTAAAGCGCTTTCCTGGGGATGGTCCAAACCATGATGCCCTGCCCAGGCCCCACATCCCAAGGGACCTTACCTGAGCCTCTCGCTGATCCCTGCCAGGTTTGTTAGAGCCATGAGTGCCTCAAAGTTCTGCAGGCCGGAGCAGTTGAGGTGCAGGAGAGAGACGAGGGGCCGGACCACCTCGTAGATCTGCGATACGCACCCACCTGTCAGGGCTATGCGCCCCAGCTCCCCCAACCCCACCAGCCCTGCAGATGGGAGGGAGTCCAGCCCCAAAAAGAAGCCTGCCCTTCCCACCCCCAGGGCTCAGCAAAGCTGACGCTTCCCCAAGGAGGAGCCGCAGCTCGGGTCAAAGGCCATCAGGGCCCTGTGAGGGGGTGGAGGACAGGCCAGCGCTCGGGCAGAAAGACACGCACCCGCTCACCGGGAAAGGTCATCTCTGGGTTGGAGGTGATGGTGAGCTTGGCAAGAGCCTGGGCTGCCTTCGTCTGCCCCACGTCAGTGCCTTCCAGGGCCAGCGGGAGCAGAGCCTGTAGGGACAAGCCCATCAGTGTCCAAGATGTGCCCGGGAACATAAGGCCCAAACCACGAGGCTCTGAGGCCCTGACTGTGCTGCCCTCACCCTTCCCCACCATTCTCTCCCCAGGCTTGACAATGATACTCCCACTCCCACCCTCTCATCTCTCTGAGGCCTCCCAGTAAGCTACCCAAACACTTCCCGAAACAACTATTAAGGGACAGATGTGGATTGTGCCCGGCACCAGAGCCATGGAGGTCAATGACACAAGGGAAAGGAGGAGAGCTCAGGACCCTAATAGGCACAAAGTCCGGGGCTCTAAAAAGCCCCACCGCCCCCCACCCCCGGCCCCCAGCATCTCTCACTCAGCAGGAAGACATTCCTGCTGGTCGCTAATAATACTTCTCCGTCCCACACCCAACACTGATCTCTGGTGTAGCAGCCACTCAGTGATGTTTTACATGCCATCGGGAAGGAGTCTGTAAGCCCGCTTACCTTGCCCCCTCCCTGAGCAACCACGGTGCCACGGTCCTCGAACTCCTCCACCAAAGCCAGGAAGACCCTGTGGGGAGAAGGCTGTGCTGGACGGGCCGGCCCGGGCTCTGGCAGGCAGACCCTCCACTCCTGGGCTCAGCAAAAGAAGGGCGCCATGCGGGTGGCCCCCTGCTCTGAGGGGCCCACGGCACCAGGACCTGCTCCCGCTGTAGTTCCATCAGCAGCCTGGAGGCTGACAGGCTGCAGCAGGTCTGGTGTAGCTGGGGCAGGCTCACCTGGAGAGCAGCTCCCTGCAGGAACTGGTCAGCACAGGGCTCTCGGTCTTCACCATGCACGTCATGGCCGACACCACACCAGCCGCCAGCAGCTTCTTAACCCGAGCCCGCACGAAACTCGGTTTGTCCTGGGGGAGGAGGCAGCTGAGCGCAGGGGCCTCGGCTGATTAGGCAGGGAAAGGGGAACCCTCCTCACGGCACAAATTGATGAGCGTGAAAACAAAGGGAAGGAACCCGCTTAAACAGAAGGCTCATCTGCTGTGGATGTCTCGGGTCAACTGGCCCCAGTGACACGGAGGCCCCCAAACCCCTCCTAGCAGGCCCCTCACCTTGGGGTGCTGCTCGGGCACGTGCTGCTTGGCGTACTTGGCCAGCTCCACCATCTTTGGGTCCGGCTCCTCGTAGTCGTAGCTATTGGTGCAGTTCACCAGCGCCGAGGCCACTGCAAAGAGCACCGACCTCTCCTCGGACTGCCGGGGGCAGAGGGGCCATCAGCGGCCATCCCGGGGGGAACAGCAGCACCGGGATAAGCGCTGCCCAGGCTCCCAGTTCTACCCTCAGCTGGACCACGTGGGCACCAGGATGAATCTGGGCACCGCCAAGGCCCAAGGGTGGCCCCAGACTTTGGGAGCTCACACACTTGACCACCCCAACTCCTCCTAAGAGATCGTCCTTTCCGACCCTGCTGGCGCAGGCCAGTACACCCAGGTCACACAGAGCGGCCACTCGGGCTACCAGCCCACCTCTCTGTGGGGTCACAAAAGCCATTGGCCAAGACCTGCCAAGAAAGCCCCGTAAGCTCTAACCCTAGACAGTGTCCCCGGACGACTGCAGGAACCCATGGAGCTACCTTGCTGAGCTGGAACAGAGCCTTCAGCGCAGCCTCATCCTCCACAAACTCCTCCTTCACATCGGCATCGAAGGTAAGGTAGGCCAGACCCTCCACCGCCCAGCGCCGAGTGCCCGCATCGATCTGGTCATTGCACAGCCACCTGGGGGCATGCAGGGCACAGATGACCATCAGAAAGGTGGGGGGACAAGAGGGGTACACCAGGACCAAGGGGGAAAAGCCAGTGGCTGGGGCATCCCCGCCACAGACAGAAGCAGTTCACGCAGCAGCGCAGGAGGGTCTGCCTGGGGGAGGACAGGGCAGTGAGGAGGCCCCACCCTCCTCTTTTGAGGTCTGGCTGACAGGTCGGGAGCCACAACAGTGCTAAATGACTCACTTTCGACACTGCTTGGCCAGTTTGAGCGTGGAGCCTTCAGCAAACTGCTTCATGCTAAAGTCGGTCCCTCCGGCTGAGCCGAGCTTACAGAGTCCCTGGTGGAAGAGGTGAGAACCAGCTG